CACTTTATAAGTGATTACATCACTTTGTAAGTGATGCAATAGATATCTTTATAAGTGATGTAGATATCTCTTATAAAAATATGTAATTTTTTTTATAAAAATGTTACTATATTAGAATAAACAGGACTTCCTTGTACACATATATGAGATAGCAGAAATGAAAAGAAATCTTATCCGTTGTTTGTAATCCATCATACCGAAGTTATTGAAGCATTTCCTTGACCATGAATCAATCTTGGAATTTATCTTCAGTAAGACACAATTTCTAAATAAATTGATGAATATCTTTATATATTCATGTGCAATTTGTCTTTATATTTTTTTTGAATAGCATAAAAAATTTTTAATTCATTAAGAATATTATTTAAGATAAAATATTTAACTCTTATTTTAAATTTTAATTATGGTAATAAATAAAAATTCAAATTGTATTAATAACATATAATATATGTATTGAAACATCTGCGTGATGAAATTGTCGGTGTGGTGTTTTGTTATAAGCGCTTATGTGAGAAGAAAAGATCAAGAAACGGCACTTAAGTCATCATTGAATATACATACCATCTTGCAACACTGATATTTGCATTCGTTAGATAAAATAAGAAAATGATATTCTCGGTGTCATTCAATGCTCATTATACATATAACGCTTTAACTCACAAATAATTTACTATTCGCTGTATTTATAAACTTAAAGTGTTGATGGATAAGTTGTTGATATTGATTTTATATTTTATTTCATAGCCGCTTTCTTTGCATCTGTTTAGTTGTAATTATTGAATAAATTATTGATATCAACTAATTCATAGATATAGGGAAAAAAAAATAATTTTAATCATTTTAAATCATTAAATGAAGAAAAATAAATATGAAATATAATGAAAATATTAAAAATTTAATATAATCGTTATTTTTCTACAAATAAATATACATATATTAATATAACTTTAGAGGTCAGATAGGTTATAAATTTTTCATAACTGAAATCTTTATTAAAATCAGTTCGTCTTCATTAATTTCGAAATTTATAGATTAAATATATAATGTTAAATTATATTTCCATAGAATTAAAATATGACATAAATAATTAACACGTTTAAATATAAAGCAAAATACGTGTCGCAAGTATCAATAGCTGTTAATTTGCTTATTTTATTATATCATCTGACAATGAATTGTTGTTTTCAGGAACGGACTGTTTGGCAAACGGAAAGATGACAAGTTAGAAATTCAAGAAAAAAGGTCCACAATCACCACAGGTTGTTATAAAAAATATTATAATATTTATTATTGAAAAATATTGTTAAATAACAATAAATTTTTAAGAAACAATATCCTTTTCGTAATAAAAAAATTATTGATTTTGTTTTCTTATTATTTATATACTATATATATTATATATATCTAATTATTTATATATTCATAATTTTTCATAATATGCATTGAATTTTAAATAGTTTCGTCAACTTACAAAAGGGAACCTTACATTAAACCAATACCATCGCCGCGTATAACGAAAGATCAGCAAGAATTTGATGAAGCTCTTGGAACTTTAGCAAGAAGAAGAAAATATACATTAGATAATTCCGCATCGAGATACGGTTCGTCTTTGACTGTTAATGGTGATCCTGCAAGACTCTATGATGGTAGTCCGCAGGATACTACTACATCTATTATGGGTGATCTTACACCGAAGCCACCAGCACGAAGGTGAATATATTATTATATTATTTATTATAATTTATTAAATTATAATTAAATTTTGGTTTTGTAAAAATTTCTTCTTTAAGATAAATTTTATCTCAATATGATCACTTAAACATGCATAAAATCATTGATTAGATTTTAATATTTGTATTCAGATTTGGCCAAATGAGTCCAAAACCAACAAGTAAAATACCACCGCTGGATTTTGAAAATGAAAGTCCAAAGGAAAATGGAAATGTAACTCTTCGTGAAAAAACACAAGAAAGAACGCCAATTCCCCCTTTGTAAGTATTATTTAGATTCTATGGTATATTATAGTATTATACTTATTAAATGGATGAAATATATTAAAAATATGGAATATACATATGTAATATCAAATATATCAAATATATTTCATAAGGCGAAGATTCGGTAACAGATCATCACAAAGGACAAACGCAACTCTGGATTCAGAGGAAGAAGCGAATCGTTCAAGTGATATGGCGATATGTGATGAAAACGAAAATGTATCTGGGGATTACATGTTTAAAAGATATTCTCAGGATGCGATTAGAAAATCAAATCTTTCGATAAACAGTTGCGTTTCGATCGGAAGTACGATGAGTTCATATGGTCGTAAAAAACGAAGAGCACCACAACCACCACGACGTTCAGAAAATGTGGAAACAAATGAAGTAAGTCAAATTTTCTACTTAAATATTTTTAAATTTATCAATTTTCATTATTTCATTATTTCAGACGGTTCATGAAGCATCTAATATAAAACTTCAAATAGTAGAACCAATTGATATAACGAGAGTTACCGAGAATATAGATGATTTGACAAAAAAGAGTAAAAATTTAGATCAAGAAGTTAATGAAGAAAAAGAAAATTCAATTTTGAATTCCAACGATGTACCATCTAAAAAAACAGAAGACAATTTAACAAAAATTATAGAAACTAATGCAAATACGCAAAATAAAGAGGAAATCTGTATTGAGGAAAAACCTGTGGATATGGAACAATTAGAATCAAAAATTTCGGTTATAGAGGATTATAAAGAATCAGAAAAAGATTTTGAGCAATCTAAGAAAGAGGAAGAAGATATTCAAATCGAATATTGCAGAACTTCTCAGAAAAATATAGAAATAATTAAAGATGTAGATCAAACGAATTTATCAGAATTAGATGATATATCTCTTCGAAGGAAAAGTTCTTCAAGCACATTATCCAGAAATGACAGTTTTTCTGTGAAAGATGAGATTGAAAAGATAGAGAAACAAATAAAAGCCCTGGAAACAAAGAATGCTTCTAAAAACTGTTCGGAAGAAAAGAATACAAGGAATTCGATTCAAGAGAATCGTAGGCATTTTTTTCAAAATATGATCGAGACCGATGATGATAAAAATGATAAAAATCCAATTAAAATAGAATTTAAAGAATTTCCAAAAGAACAAAAGGACATTCATGTGGTAAGACTAAATGATTCGCCTATTCCCGTAGAAGTTCCTAGAGAGCCGGTGAAAGTTATTGAGCTTCATATTTCTGAACCTATAAGACGAAAACCAGAGATACTCGAAGATGTGAATCCAATTCCAAAACCCAGAAGGCATAGTGCTTTAAATCTAAACGATTCTCAATCAAACATGACTCTAAATAATACTAAGAACTTTGAACCAATGAGAGGGAAATCTTTGTAAATTTTAATGATGAATTCTTGTAAGAAATTGTTGGTCTTTAAATTAAAGAAGAATATCCCTGTTAATTTTGACATAAACAATCTTTTTGGTCTTTAAATTAAAGAAGAATATCCCTGTTAATTTTGAGATATCTTTAAAGACTGTATAAATATTGTGTACATGTGTATTTATTTAGTGCTTAAATTTTTTCTTGATCATTTTAAGTATCATTAAATACATAATCATCTGTTTAAATTTAAATTCTGAAGCAGTTATGAATGAAATTATTTTTAATATTTCTTAAACAGATTAATATTGCGTCATATTGCGAGATACAACTTTTTTAAAAATTGATGTAAAAATATGCGTATTATTATCATTTGAATCATCATATCAAATGGAAATGAACTTTTATACTAATATAACATATAAATTTATACAAATATAAATTTTGTGATCATGAATGCTATTAATACAAAAATTATATTAGATTTGTGCTGTTTCTTATCTATATAAATCGTGCATTGTTCTGTAAAAAAATTTTCAATTTTATAAAATTATAAATATTCATATAATCGATTTTTTCGAGAACTTTAATTTAATTTAAAATTTAAAATATAATTGCTTTAATACACAAAGCTTTTATTATTACAATTTAAGAATTAGTTAATAATATTTCATAATATAAATATATATTTACATTGTAAATATTAAATTTTAGTACATTAATGTACTAACACATAATTGATAAAAATTGTTAATGTATAAAAAAACAGAATGAATCTTTTAAAGATCTCTCATCCTTTTTTCTTTATACCTTATAAATTTCATAATATTCATATTCACTGTGGACACTATTGCAACATTGTCTCCTAAAGTTTTTTTTTGTTGTCTCATCTATAAATAAAAAATAATTTTAATAATAAATTTAAAATATAATTCGATATTCAATCATTCTATAAATGATATTCAAATTGAAGTAAGAATCTTACTTTATTTCTAAAGCATGGTATTAAGATTTGTAATTTTTCTAGCAATTTAATTTCATTTGCTAATTGGTCACTATTATCTTCTGCATATATATCTATTATTGTGTCCAAAAATTCTGCCATTACCCAAACTTTTGATTCTAACATACAAGCATCCAACAAAAATATAGATATATGCTAAAAAAAATATTATTATACAAAAATATATTCAACATTAAGTTTTAATCAAAATTTATAAATCTTACTTTAATTATTTCACGAGCTTCAGATGTATCATTGTTCCTTAAAATTAAAGCCAAATTTCCTAATATTCGTATCAAATTTACTTGAATATTAGCATTTAAACATTGTTGTTCTCTGTTTAACATTGGTTGAACATCAGCTAGTGTTAAAGAGTTAAAAATATTTACTTTCTCTTCTGATAATTTTTGAATAGCAGCTCTCATAGCTGCTGTAGCGGATTCTAATAATTCTATATCATTTGCACTTGTATCCTTGAAAACGATTGTTCCAATTTCTGTCCACATTCTAAAATTAGAATAATATAAATTGAATAATTTTATATAAGTTTTAATTTAACAAAAATTATATATTACCTGTATACATTTTCTATACCACCAAGTGCATCAATTTCTAAACATGATATTAAATTATTTAAACACAAATAGGCTGTACAATTTAGAGTGTGAACTTGCTTTAAGATATCTTTTCCTTCAACATTTTGTTCTAATATTTCTAATGTATCTTTGTTCATAATTCTAGTTTTGTCCCATACTTTACTTATTATATTACAAATATTAAATATTTCAATTATTTCTAATGGTAAAGAAAACATGATTTTATATAATTTATCATCCATACAAACATCATCTATGTTTTCAATTTCATAATCTGAATTTTCTAAATCAGATTCATTCTCATTTTCTTGATCTTCTGAACATAAATTGGCTAAAATCTCTAATGCTTGCTGCTGTGCACCAAAAACCCTTCTACTATCTTGTACTTTTTTTTTTGCATTAATAGAAAAGGCATTTTTTTCATAGGGTAAAATTGAAACCAAATTGGATAATAATTGCTTACAATCAATGGAAAGAGTATCAGATAATACATTTATCACTTTGCAGATTATATTCATAGAAAGATTTTCTTCACAGTTAGTCAAATTAATTAATAAACCACTTATAGCAGTTTTAAAACAAGCTATTTCAGAAACACTAGCATTATTTATTTCTGTGTTTAACAATTGATTAAGTGTATCTTCAGAATTTTTAAGTTTTTTAATAGCACTGATATTATCTTCTGACAAAGATAATAAACATTGTGTAATAATTGTAGCAATTTCTATACCATAAATAGTGATATCAAAAAATTTTGTTAAAATAGAAACAATATCATTTTCATTGCAACATTTTACAGCAAATTCATTGTGTTCACATAATGTCCATAATAATGTAATTGCTTGAATGAACGCTTCTTTTTCATCAATTGCTTTGTTTTTCTCATTATGATCTTTTGGTTGCCAATCTGTATAATACTATAAATTGTGTCCAAATTACTAATTTATCACAAAATAAAATAAAAAAAAATTAATTTTTAAGCTTACTTGTTTTAACAAAGTACACAATGGACTCATAATATCATCATTTAATAAATTAATATGTGCTTCCATTTTTCCATTATCTGCTAAATATCTTAAAGTACTTGCACTACTGGTTCTTATAAGAATATTTTTATCAACAAGTAATGGACCTATTATTTTAGCAATTCCATTTTTTGTAATTTGCACAGCAAGAGTCGAATTATAAGACATTGATTCAATCGTTTGTAATCCTGAAAGTTTCTCTTCAATATTAACGGATTGTATCTGAAAAATTTATTATTTTACAATTATTTTTAAATGTAAAATATAAAAATGAATAAAAATGTGAAATAAAAATTTTTCATGTAAAATACCAACTTCTTCATATACTCTTCGTAAAGCACTTTCCCGATCATCATTCATAACATCATCAATTTCTTCTGTTTCAAAATCTTTAACAGATAGAAGTCCCGTAGGATTTCTTTTATGTGGTCTATTTTTTTGTCTCTTTTGCTTTCCCATTTTTTCTTAATACATGAATTATCGCGAATTAAACAAAATTATTTAAAAATACACGTGTCATTTCTATTTTTATCTTCTGTTTTTGTATCTTTTTATTAAAGAAATTTCACTAGATAAAAATGAGATTTTAAGTTCCTAGGCTTCATATGATTGGTCAAATTTTTAAGAAAATTGATTGGTATAGTGAAATATATCAACGAATCAAAAATATGTACTTCCATTTATTTATCATCTATGAAATAAAATAGCAAGAAATTACCCATAATGCCTTAGGTTATTTTTTGAGACATGCGCTTTGAATAATTACATTCACGTATCAATTTATACAAATAATAAAAATTTATTTTAATTTATATGATAATATCGCAAAAAGCAATCATAGAATAAAGATATTTATAATATTTATAAATAAAAATAGATTAGGATTATATATATCCTTTTAAGTCTTATATTTTTATAATATTAAATAAATTTTAAAAAAATTAAAAAAAAATAAAATATTTTTAATATAGTACGGTACTGTAAGAATTTAATATCTGTGTCTCTCTATTACGCATGCGTCAAATTTGATTTCGTTAGTCCAAATTTGACTCTTGTAAATCTTTTCAAATGTATAACTGGTATTTTCCGATATAGCAATAACATAGCAAGGTGTGAGTTAATTTGTTCAATAATTTTATTTATATTGTGGATTGTAAGGTATTATTTATAATTATTTCAAAATTTTATTAATATTTCTTATTAAATTTCATAAAAATTGATTATTGATTGTTAGTTATAATATAAATATTACAAGTACATTTTTTTGAATTTTTAATTAATCATGTATTTAGTTAATTTATTTAATTAAATTTGAATAAAAAATATAAACTTCAATTATGGATTATTTATCATTCATCATTATATCATTTATATTCATTATATTATTAAAATTTATAAAAGAGTTTTTATCGATTTATTTATTGATTTATTGATACTTTCTGTTACTTTTGAAATAATCTTTAAATATACTATTAGTTTTAAATTAGAAAATATTTTTTACAAAAATTCATTCAACCACATTGTTATTAATGTGTTGTATTAATGTGATATTGACTTTTTTCAAATTTTATTTGTTTTAATTGTATTTATTTATTTTTTTTATGTAATACTATAAATTCTAATTTTAAAACAATTCTTTTTATATATATGACGATTGAAATTCGATCTTGAAATTATTATTTTTAAATATTATAATCTTTTATTTTTTGTAATATTTAACCTTGAACTATCCTTAATATTATAAATATAAACATGTTCTAGTTATAAGATTTTTTTTAAGTTATATTTTTTAAGTTATATTTTATAATATTTTGAAATATTTTTGAAAATATAATATTTATTCAAACATAGGTAGTATATTTTTTAAATAAAAATATTTTTCTCATCAATATTATATGAAATAAAGAATTGTTTTTCCTTTTATTAAAATTGCATTTAAAAGAATTTTTTTTTATTCAATATAATAGTTTTTAAAAAAGAAAACATTCTGTATTATAATATTATATAACTACTTATCTTTTTAAAATATATTGTTATTTTTTCATTGTAAAAATTTACATGTTTCATTAAAAAATTGTTAAGATTCTAAATCAATTATGGCTGATCGGGGCCGGGGTAGAAGTCGAGGACGAGGAAGAGGTCAGGATGATAGAAAACAAGGTCCTGGACAACAACAACCTCAACAACAACCTCAAACAAGTGCTTGGAGTCGTAGACCTGGTCCTTCTCAGCCACAACCAGGACCATCTTCACAAACACCATATTCAAGATCTTCAGCACCAGCACAAGTAATCTATAAAACATAACTTTAATTATATTTAATAATACATATGTTGTATGATATGTATAATATTTTTTTGTTTTTATATCTTTTTGTTTTCTTTGTTATTTCTTCAGAAGTAAGAAAAAAATGTATGTATTTACTTTTCTTTAAAAATATAAAAAATTTATTTATGTATGTGTATGTTTGAAGTATGTATTCAAAGTATATTAGAAATGTAAAAAAAATTTGAAACTCATTTTGTTTTTTTGTGTAGATTTATCCAAAGGTAAAAGGAATAGATAAGGTTAGTGTTTGTCTATTATTGTTAATATTATTATTATATTTTGAATAATATTATTTCTTTGTAAAAATGAACTGTCTCAACAATATAGTCTCTTATGATATAGTATTTGTAATTTAAATTTATTTTTAAATATTAGTAATTTAGAAATGTGAAAAATGTATGTATCTTTTTTTGTTTATATATTATATCTTCTATTTTGATCTATATTATTTGGGTTGTTCGGAAAATAATTTTGTTTTTTACATTTATGAAAATAAACGAAATTACTTTCCGAACAACTTATTATAATGAAATTTTAAATTGTTATTTTATTATTAAGTATTTTTCATTTTTAAGAGTGCTGGAAGAGCCACTCAGAGACTAGGTCCTAAAGGAGATGGTGGACCAGGACATAAAGAAGAAAGTGCTCCTGAAGCAATGGAAGGTGTATTTAAGAAAGTTTTTTTTTTAAATTATATTTCATTTATATTTATTTTATATTTTTATTATTTGAGAAAATTATATGGTATAAATTCATTTATATATGAATATTATACATATATGATACTTTATAGTTAGTGGAGGGGAAACTGGTGGAGGAGATGCAGCAGCAGCAACAGCATCACAGATAGGAAGAGGTGCTATGCGAGGTAGACGTGTGATACCATCAACTCCAGAAAATATACAAACTAGACCAGAGAATTTAATAACTAAACAAGGTTAATGCATTTCGTATATATATGTAATACATACATATATTTTTATGTATATAATATATATGTATATATATGAAACGTAAAAAATATATAACATAAATATTGACTTTTTTAGGCAATACTGGAATTAGTGTAATGCTACAAGCAAACTATTTTAGATTGCTTGCCACAACTGATTGGTGTTTATATCAATATCGAGTTGATTTTGCACCGGACGAAGATCGTACTGCGGTTCGTAAAGGATTACTTAAACTTCATAGAGAAGCTTTAGGAGCATATGTTTTTGATGGAACTGTTATGTATTCTAGTAGACGTTTACCAGATGTAAGATACTTTTGATTAGATCAAATTATATATAATTGTTTGATAAATTATGAAATTATACAATAAAAATTTCATTTTAGAAAATGGAAATTTGGTCTCGCAGAACATCAGATGATACCAAAATCAGAATTACCATACGTCTTGTTGGAGAAATGGAAAGAGTAGATCAACGTTATCTTCAATTTTTTAATATAATTATGCGAAAATGTTTGGCTCTATTGAATCTTCAACTTGTAGGACGCGATTATTTTGATGCACATAGTAAAGTAAATAAACAAATAATTTCTTACTATAATTGTTTAATATTTGTATTTATTAATTGTTTAACATAATTAAAATATAGGTAGAAGTACGTGATTTTAGATTGGAACTTTGGCCTGGTTATCTTACATCTATAAGACAACATGAAAATAGTATTCTTATGTGTGCTGAAATCATACATAAAGTCATGCGTCAACAAACTTTATTAGATATATTACATGATTGTTATAATCAAGATAAACTTGATTATAAGGTAAGAATATTAATTATTAATAATTTTCTTGAGCTTAATTATATTCATATATTAAATATTATATATTTAGACGTTATTTGAAAATCAAGTTATTGGTTTAGTTGTACTTACTGATTACAACAATAATACATATCGTATATCAGATGTGGATTTTGATTCAAGTCCTAATTCAACTTTTCAATTAAGAACCGGTGAAAAAGTAACTTATAAAGAGTATTATAAAAATAAATATCAAATCCCTATTAACAACAATTCTCAACCAATGCTTGTAACAAGATTAAAACCAAGAGAACGTCGTGCTGGTCAAGCCGAATTGGTATATCTTGTTCCGGAACTTTGTCGTGCAACAGGTATAATTTTTTATTCAATATTTTTATAATTAATATACGTAATAAAATATTTAATTGTTATATTTCATGATAAATAATTCTTGCACAGGTTTAACTGATGCTATGAGAGATAATTTCCATTTAATGCGTACATTGGCAGAATATACACGTGTATCTCCTGCGGCGCGTATAGAGAAATTAATGGTTTTTAATAGGAGACTTCGCGATAAACCATCTATAGTAGGAGAATTAAATGAATGGAATTTACAACTTGATGAAAAACTGGTTGATGTACCAGCACGATTTTTACAACCAGAAAAGATTGTATTAGGAAGTGGACGAACGGTTTCTGCAGGTCAATTTGCCGACTGGACTCGCGAATTACATAATAAGCCATTGTATAATATTGCTCGATTGAGTAACTGGGTAGTAATTTGCATGAGTCGTATGAGACGCGAAGTCGAGAGATTCATACAAACGCTTAAAGAATCTGCATCTGGAATGGGTTTTAGAATTGACAGTCCAAGACTTTGGGATATTGTTGATGATCGATCCAATACTTATTCTGATACTCTCGAAAGAGTAATGAGTACTAGTAATCCAGAATTAATCTTTTGCGTAGTATCGAATAATCGAGCTGATAGATATAGTGCAATAAAAAAGAAGTGTACTCATGATAGACCAGTAGCTTCACAAGTTTTCCTTGCAAAAAATCTTTCGAATAAAGGTATAAGGTCGATTGCTACAAAAGTAGCAATTCAATTAAATTGTAAATTGGGTGGTGCTCCATGGAGCGTTGAATTACCACCGATTAATTTAATGGTGGTTGGTTATGATGTATGTCATGATCCTGCTGATAAAAGCCGTGATTTTGGTGCAATGGTGGCATCATTGGATAGAAGCTTGACAAGATATTATAGTGCAGTAGCTGCTCACACTACAGGAGAAGAACTTTCAGATGAGTTTGGAGAAAGTCTTGAAAAAGCTGTGCTATGTTATAGATCAGTGAACAAAGTTTTACCCTCACACATTTTGATATATCGTGATGGCGTAGGTGAGGGTCAGGTACCATATGTATATAAACATGAAGTAGATGATATAAAGGCCAAATTAAACAAACTTTATGGTGATCCTAATACCATTAAATTGGCATTTGTAATAGTTACGAAACGAATTAATACTCGCTTATTCTACAATCAAAATAATCCTCCGCCTGGTACAGTAGTCGATGATGTTGTTACTAATCCATTAAGATATGATTTCTTTATTGTATCTCAAAGTGTACGACAGGGTACGGTGACACCATGCGCATATAATGTAATAGCTGATAGTACTGGTTGGAGAGCCGATCAGATGCAAAGAATGACTTACAAGTTATGTCATATGTATTATAATTGGTCTGGTACCGTTAGAGTACCTGCACCTTGCCAATATGCTCACAAACTTGCTTTTTTGGTTGCACAGTTTGTGCGTCGTCCACCATCTGCAAGGATGCAGAGTTTATTATATTACTTGTAATCATTCCTTGTTCCTAACATACAAATTAAGATATATAGATTAAGTAGAAGACATGCAAACTGTCTTAAAAGTATATTTTTACAATTTTTTGTATTATGACAGATAATTTAGTTTTTGTTTTCTCTCTCTTCTTTTTTTTTTTTTTAAAGAATTTAAAAATTCTTTCTCTCTATACATATATGTATATATGTATGTATATATATATAGAGTTATACAATTATATAGTATTAGACGATATTTTATCATTATTTCTTCATTTAATTGATATTAGATTAAAAAATTGATTATGAAAAAATTTAAAAAATATATTCATGGTTTTATGTTTTATTATGCAGGAATCATAATTTGAAACATGAAGTAAAAAATTATTTGTTTATGATATTTTACTTTCTTACATTACAGTTATTGCAAATAAAAATTAATACATTATGTATTCACATATTTCTTTATAAAGTAAGATTTACTTTGACTACTTTTTTTTTATGTATAATTATGTATTTTTTATAAGAATGTATTGTCATTTATAAAAATACTGTAAAATATCATTCTATAAGAATGTTGTAAAATTGTTGTAAGATGTTCAAAATTATGTGTGATGAACAAAATTGAAATCTTTAAATTTAATAGATATCTTATGTCACTAGTTAAATTAAATAGATATTTTATGGAGTCACTAGTTAAATTTAATAGTTAAATTTAATATCTTATAAAGTCACTAGTTTACTTCGCTTTACGTTATAGGCTTTAATATACATAATGGAAATATGTAAAACTATTTTTATAAAAAGATTTTATATTTTGTTTTGTAATTGTTAATTGTTTTGTAATTTATAATTTTATAATTTTTTCTTTCATTTATATCCTGAAAAATTTTCAATAATCATTTTAATTTCTCATAGATGGCGTATATATTAATCTGAAAGTACCAATATAATAAAAATAGTTACAGTAAAATGTTTCTACAGGCTCTAATATAAAATATCATACGATTAGTTGGCTAACCTGATTTATCGTACATTGTTTTTAAGTTCAGTACGACGAAGAAAAGTGAAGAAGTAACATATAAGAATTATTTCTATTTAAATAGAAGTTAATAATTAAATTAAATAAACTTTTGTTTTTCCTAAAATCTTATTAGAAATTAAGGTATTATAATAATAAAATTTTTCATATATATATATGTGGAAATAATTTTAAAATAATTTTTGGAATAATATATTTGTTACGAATTTTTTAAAAATATTTTACTTAATATTTATTGATTTCTTTAACTTTATAGAAAAATGGGAGAACGTAAAGGCACAAATTTATATTATCCACCTGATTATGATCCTCGTGTTGGTGGACTTAATAAATTTCTTGGAACTCATGCATTACGTGAAAGAGCACGTAAATTACATATGGGTATTCTTATTGTTAGATTTGAAATGCCATATAATATATGGTGCGATGGATGTAATAATCATATAGGAATGGGTGTTCGTTATAATGCTGAAAAAAAAAAAATTGGAATGTATTATAGTACACCTTTATATCAATTTCGTATGAAATGTCATCTTTGTGACAATCATTTTGAAATAAAAACTGATCCAGCAGTAAGTAAGCAGTATATATTATGTTTTTATAATAATAATTTATTATATTTTATTATATTATTTGCATAAATATCTTTTTACATAGAATTTAGATTATGTAATAGTGAATGGTGCAAGACGTCAAGAAAATCGATGGGATCCTAAGGAAAATGAACAGATTGTGCCAGAAACAAAAGAAGTATCTTGTAGACTATATGATGATGCTATGTATAAATTAGAACATGGTATAGAAGATAAGAAAATAGCAAAATCACGAGATTCTTCTTTGGAATCTGCAATAGCATTAAATGATGCTACATGGAAAGATGATTACACTTCAAATTGTGCATTGCGAACTGCATTTAGAGTATGTTTAATATATACTTGTTAATTATATTTTTTATATAATTTATTATAATATTTGAATATTGTAGACACGAAAAAAAGAATTACAAAAAAAGCAAAGTTTGGATCAAATATTGCTTAAAAAAAGTGGATTAAACATTGATTTAGTTAATGAACATGAAGAAGATATAAAATTAGCTAAATTATTAATGTATAAAAAAGGTAATAATTTAGATAATATATAATATAGAGAAAAATCAATATTTAAAAAGAATATTACAAAAATTTATTATACTATTTTCAGATACAAAAAAAAGTGTGCATAATCCTTTGAAACGATTAATTACTATTATACGATCTAGAGATAAAGTAAAAAGTTTGCCATATTCTATAAATCATGGTATTAAAAAACAAACAAATCAAACACCTAAACTTCCTGAGTTTAATCAGCAAAAAATTCCGACATCGAAAATTACTAATACGTTAAATACATCGCTAGTAACTTATGATAGTTCTGATACAGATAATGATTCATAATATTTTGTATTTGAAATAAAGAAATTATACATGTATCTAATATAATTTATAATTATTTGGTAAATATGTATAATATATATAAAAATAACATATTAAGGAATAACATAATAAAATATTAAGTAAAAATATATTTGTTTATAATGGATTTAGAAGTTTATTTTACATTTTTATCATTATATAGTTTTTTTCAAACTTATATTCATTATATTTAATAAAAGTTGCTTAATATTTTAATTTTATTCTTGTACGAATAAATAATATTTATACATCAATAAGAGGTTGCTCAACAATTGCAGTTGTTGAGGACACCAATCTTTTTTTCACTACATGAATCTTTTTATTTGAAAGACAGATAATATAACAATGATCTGGATATGTTATTGATATTTTATCAAAAACTTCATTGTTAGGAAATGCTTTTGGATCAATTTTATTGGTTAATGTAACTAAACCTACAATAATATTTGCAAATTTTTCATCATTTTCCAGTTCACCTCCAGACTAAAATAAAATATATAATTTGAAGATTTTTAAAATTTTGTAAAAAAATAATTAATAATTAGAATAATAATCCTTTTATGTGGAAAAAAATATTACCGTTAACACTGCACCATCCTCTGTCAAAATCAAATGTCCAATTTGATCTGGAATTCGTTCCAATGAAAGCATATTTTTCCTGTTGTATATAATTCAGATATCAACTTTATTTTTAATATAAAATATATTAAATGAAACTATACTGTGTTGAATTGTTTTTGAATACACTTTTTTTTTAAACATGAAAATTCTAACCTGTTGATTTAAAATAAATCGTTCTATTACATTAAATGTACTATTGGCAATTTATTTATAACTAATAGATTAAAAAAAAATTAAACAAATTATACTAAATAATTACACTTCTTTTATAATTGTCAATATATGAAATTACAACAAAATGAAAGCTATCAAGCTACGAGCTGACAGCAATCAATTATGTATTTTCTGTTTATATAAAATCACAGATAAAATATAGAATAGATCTAATATTCAATGCATTTTTTGAACCATTTTTCGGGAACACTAAAATCATCTTACCATATTAATTTCTTTTTCAATATTATTTTTTTAACTCAGAAAATTGTATCATTAGATAGATTAGATAACAATTTAAATTGAAATTAAATTTTAATATAAAATTACAAAAAAGAATAAAATAAATATTTCGTTATAAAATATTTTGCCAGTAGACAAAAAAATAAAGAAAGATAAAGATATGATAAAAATTAAGGAATCAAAACTATCTCGAGAATCGCAAATAAAACAAATATAGGCGAGAAAAAAAAATATAAGAATTAATTATCAGCATCATTTTTTTAACATTCAGCAAATGGCATTTATTATCAATCCTCATTTATCTTATTCTATATTTTTGAAAAAATGTTTCTATCATTTTAAAGATGGCGTTAATAGTTAATTCTTATTCTAATTCTATTATTTATTTTTCTTATCTATATATGTTTCATTTGCGAATTCTTTGAAATTGATTTAATTTTTAACTTATTTTTATCCTTCTATCATTATTTATTCTTTATGTCTATATAATTTATACGTCATGAGACCGTTCAATTACAATTCATATTAAATTAACAATTGAAAGCTGGCAAAAGAAATCAAAATTAGAAATACTTGTGATTCTTATGATTTCATTAATAAAATGTTCTTATTTTTTATCATATTTTAATAATATAATAATATAATAATAATAAGTAATAAAATAATAAAATCGGTGTTTTATTGTCTTTATTTTATAAATACTAACATTTACAATTTCATATTAATAATATGTTAATAGTATGTATAAATAAATTTAATAATATTATATTTAATTATTATTAATAATTATAATTATTAATACTATTAATTAGATTAGATTAGCAATATATTTAAATTTATATTTTATAAAATATTTTTGAAATTGATATTATTTTTATTGCAATAAAAATTATAAGTGTAATTTTTTTATTCATATTCATGAATAATTCAACTGTATAAATATATCTATTATTCATAACTATAAAAAAAATTTATGAATATAATCATAAAACACACGTATATATATATATATATATATATATATATATATATATATATATATAATATA